AGTATATGAGGCGCTCAGTCATCGATTAAGGACGTCGCAGAAGCGACCGAGTGCATTGCTGCATTGTGTGTTGGAATGGCACGCCGGCCCAAAGTTACCATGCACAGCAGGTTCATGAGAACCAAGTACTGATTACATCCCACGGAGCAGTCTGGGGCAGTGTATCACATTGCATGCCTAACCTGTTCTTGTACCTACGCAGGCCAGACTACACTCGTGCTCGGATCGCGTACACACGAACATAAGTTGGTTGTGGGAGGGAGTGATGAATTAACGCGAGTGACTCCTCACACCTACAAAACGGATCATATGTTCAACTTTGTGGCCGTCAAGGTAGTCGCCCACGCCGTAGAAGTAAGACAAGTCAAAAATCGACAGAAGCCTGGACCTCGGATGAGAACTCAGTCAGTGGATGCGCCAACTAGGCACCGGCATGCAAAGCCCTGCACAGTTGCCTGCAGACCTGCATAACTGATTGCTGATTGGTTCGTATCCTCTATGACTGTCGTCTGTACGCTCGCTGTTACTACCTCAGATGATGGACCCCTGCAGAAGTTAGACAGCTCAGAACAATAAGCAAACTGTTCGGATTTTCAGCCAGCCCTCTTCCTGAGTCTCTAAAGAAATGACATATTATATACGCGTCCGTGATTTGACGGTTCTCGATGAAAAGCAGTTATTTCATAGCTAACAAATAAGCCAAAATATGCCTTCTTCTGAAGTTTCGGGTATGCGAGGGAGAAGTTGATGCGCTACAGGGGGTTTAAATCCGAAGTCCGTGACCTTTCTCCTACTAGGTCGCGAACTGTAAGTACACCCGAAGCACGAACATCCGCCGCAAAATAACGTCTTGTGTCCTGTAGGTCTCCTTATAGATTTGTATAACAGAAAGAACATTCACCGATCGCCTTCTCCTTGAGATTCAGAGCTCTCGACGGACTATAAATAGATCCCTGAAAAAGGTGAAATATACCCGCTAATTAAAACTGTGTACAGCGATCGTCCGTCGACGGAACTGTACCCGAACTCTGTTCCCCCACGCAAAACTTACAGAAACATGTCAGTTTTTTCTGTTTGAATCGCTGTTTGATACACCCTTCCGATCATTGGAGAGAATGGCTAGGCAATGATGTCCCTTGTTATCACTCACACTGCTGACTTCTTCAGAACCATTCCACAAACGATATTTTCATTGACTCTGACAAAACTATTTTCAACAACTTTAAGTTGCTACCAGTTCAGAAATGTTCAAGCAATCGCTGCTGAGCATTTTGATAAATTCATTAAGCAAACAGGCTTTACTTGTTACATTTTCACATCTAGGCGAGCCCTCCATCGAATACTTTTCAAGTAAAAATTAACCACCGGTACGACTGTCTCCTGAGAGGCAACTCGTATTATAATCCCGGTTGAAGGAAGCTTGCGGCCACATCATCATTGGAACACGCACTCACGCGAAAACTGACCCCCCTGCTCTCTAATTTGATCAATAATTCCCGTGGGGGTCACAGATCCAGAGTTTTTCCATCGGGACCCCAAACTGAAGTATGAATTCCGAACGGGCCCTTATTCTCGCCTTAAATAGGACGGACTGAACTGGTTTGTCTGTTCGAAGGTGGCAAAACAATGTTGCTGGGGTCTCCAAACAACAGATCAGCCGTCCAATCTACCCCCCTCCCCACCCCAAACCGTTGACATCTTCTTCCCAGGGTCCAAGGCACGCAATCCCATTACTGAGGGTTTAGGAATTAACAACCGGCTTGACATAGTAAACAATCTCGAGGAGCGTCAATATTCATCATCTAACTCGATTCGGATGAGTAAGGATGCCATCATCAGAGGAGAGAAGAAAATGGGTGTGTCATTGAGTTGTATTTCTGGGTTGTTGAACAATGTCAATGGAAACACTAAGGAGCAGACAGCAAAATTCATTCCAAAAAAGAGTCGATGTAAACAGTTCCCTCCCCTTTTATTCAGAAGTCGGAAGTCCTATTCGCAGGCCCTCTTGCATCCTTCCAGAGTGTCAAACCTGTTGGCGTTTCCTCCACAACCGCCGTAGATGAAGCGCACACATTTGCGCTGTCTTCTATCGAAGGCGTAATGAGGAAGATAGGCGAGGCAGTTTCCGGCCTCAATGGGCAACTCACAACGATTCTCCCGACCTGAAAATCATGATGGGTTGAGAATGTGCCACCCGTGCAATGTTAGTTCGCGTACTACTAGTTCAAAAGGCCAGTTTGGGCATCTACCATCCCTTGCTTGCTTATAAGTCAAGGAAATCTGATGCAGTACAGACTGTGGTGCTCTGTCAGTTTGGTTTTATAACAGACGACTTGTCTTCGATTAGGTAAAAATGACTGCTTAAATAGTATGATTTCTACTTGGAAAAAAAGCGTCTTTAGATTTTGAAAATATTTTTTTTGTCCTCGAATAATTTTAAACCCTACCAGCAATGGCCCTTGCGCCTAGAGTTTCCAAACTACATGCCGCACACTGTCTGTGTAAGGAAGATTATATTTTTTCCCAAGGAAATCTAGAAGATGTCATGTGGGGCTCATAAAATTTTGCAATTAATGTAGACCATGTTGCCTACTAGTTAAGCAGCTTCAACAAATGTACAGATAGGATGCTTTGTGGATATATATGCCACAGTTTTGCGAAATCTACTAACAAAAAGCATTTTTTAAAAGCAAGAAATTCCTTTCTCCGCAGTGGATGTGGGTTATGTTATAAAATCCATAAGCAGCACTATTCTATTCAATATACCTGAATTTATACGGGCATCGAAAATCGAAGTAGAAGCAAACCATTTGATCAGAACTTTCTTTTTTCGGGTAGTCGAAAAAAGGCATTCTAAAACCCAAATGCCGACAAGGCTAAAAAATATTATAGGATAATGTCGCACGATAATCAATATCACAAAGGCACATAAGATATCCTTCCTTATCAAAAACGCAATTCAGAATCTCGGCTGACATCTCATGAGATCGTTCACTCACTTCAAGTCCCTATATGACCGGGATAATTTTACCATCGAGAATTACTAAACGCATTTCTCAAAGTAGGCGTTATTCGATAGACTTTTCAATTTACACCTTCATTTCCTTCCTTCTGGCACGTGTTAGGTAAACTCTTTCCATCGATTACTCTGCGCGTACGTCTCGAACTGTGATCTTTCCGATTTTTATATTGATCTTATGAATAAATTCAACCCGCAGTTTGTGCATTAGTTCAGTTCAGTTTATTTCAGTTTATTTGAGGGAAATATAGGTGTTGAACCTTTGAACTCCCTATTTGTTACAAGGAAGCGAACTATATCAAAAAGTTGAAATGGAAAGATCAAACAGCTACAGAGTGTCTTCAGTTTGGCAAGGTTTTCGAGCCAGACAGATAAACGAATTGTTCCACGAGTTAAAAACATTAACGTTACTAAGTGTGCTGTACAGCAATCTGTCTATGGATAGTTGGTGCTATCTCAGTTTCGGAGGGAGACGAATTAGATGCCAGCACGCATTCAACAGACATTGGACAATAATAAAAAAACGAACGTTACTGAAATGCAGGCAGTAATATAACAACATTAACAAACTGCTCGAACGAAATGCTAGACGTTGTCGGTCAGGTGGCATTATGACGCTTGGTGGTAAACTGGTCCAACTTGCGCTTAAAAGCCTCGACAGAGGTGGATATGACGACATCTGTAGGCAGAGCATTTCAGGCCTCAAGCACTCTGTTTGAATAGAAGAACTTCCGAATGTCCAGCTTGGCGCCAGTTACGCGTAGCTTAAGTGGATGACCTCGGAGGTTCGTTGTGGTCGCTAACTCAAAGAAAACAGCAGGTACGAGACAGCAGTCGTGGCCGCGGAATGTTTGTATAAGGTCGCCTCTTAGCTGTCTGTAACTGAGTGGAAAAAGTCCGAGATTGGACAAACGTGTTTCATAGGGTAGAGAACCCTGTCCACTTACGTTATGCGTTATCCATGTGATGCGACGACATAAAACAGCCGAGGAGTCTTCGTGAACGTTTTAGTGAGAATAAGTCGCATTGTTTATGCTTGTTTTGAATTCCTGTCGCTAGCGAAATACCTCAAGAATTCGAGTTTTTAGCAAATGTACGGAAAAGCAAACCCCCACGGGGTTGCAAACTCCAGCCTTTAGTTCACGAATTTACTTCCTTCGCTGTCATTATGCGCTGATTCGATAATCTACAAGAACATAAATATTCAAGCAAGTCAGTAGTCGCGTTTAAATTTACTCTGAAATAATGCATGCCTGTAGCTCCGAGGCAAAGAAGGAAAATTAGTAGCAAACCGAGACTGCGCATTCTATCTGTTTCACACCCCCCCCTCCGCTCCGGTCCTCTTGACTCTTTCCTGACATCGAATCCCTGTGGGCGAGGAGGAGAGAATGCGCGAACGCTGCGCAAGTCCACTAAACTAAATCCCATGAAAGCCACTGTCCCTCCGCCCCCTTTCCTCCACCCTCCTATTGTGGGGCACAAGGTGAACATAGTCGAGGAGGACGACTGAGAAGCCAGTCAGTAATAATTCCAAAGAATAAGTGGTCAGAGGGCAACAAGTGGAATCAAGACTTACTATTGCCGCCGCAGGCTCGCTGGCACTCCTCAAGGCTTTCGAAGCGGTTGCCATTGCCACCGCAGCCACCGTAGATGAATTTTTCGCAGCGATTCACCTCAGGAACGTAGGCGAAGCTGGGGAAGAAGCCCCTGCACAGACCGGGCTCGACTGGCAATTTGCAGACATTGTTGCCCGCTACAAGTGAAACAGTTTGTGAGCAGAGATGGTAAATTTGCAGCGTGATACTAATCAAAGTAGGTAAACGTGGGTCAGAGATCTTCAAAATTGGCAGTAGATGCGAAGGTTTAAGATTCGTACCGAATGCTGCCATGAAAGCTTCTGATTAATTTGCTTTTACCAGTTATTGACATGGTAACCCCTGGTCAATCAGCATCGGAAAAGCTTCTTTACTGGCGATAAACTAACACGCATGTATGCTTTCAAAACCATTAGATATATGTATATTATGGTCAATGGACGTCCTCGGATAACATTACGGAACTCAATCCTCCGGTTGTAACTTGGAGCTCCCTCTCGAGCCCCGCCATTAACCGCATAGCCGTGTGTTATATAAATATATATATATAAATCAGGAATGAGCGCACACCTATCTATTGGCTTCAAGAGGCAAACAAGCTCCGTATGGGTGGCAAAGGTCACAATAGCACCTGCTGGTGGTCAGGGATATGACTGGCTGAATGAAGGCACAGTAAGCCCGAAACAGTACTGTAGCAATCTATCCGCATTCTCTGTCGTCTCTCCTCGCCGATTTATATACATACATAGAATTAAGTTAAAAAATATAACTAAGACAAAACACTACACGTTAAAGGAAGGTAGGAAATTTTACAACGCGCTCGTCAGTATTAAGACGAATACTCCGAATCACATTTCTTCGACGGTAGACCTGCACTGACTTTAAATGCCTGCGATGCTGGAAGACAGCCGGATACGAGATATTATAATCGCTGCTTTCACCATTTCGTTTGTTAACCCTACACCGAAGTGTACAGGTTTCACAGTCAGCGGAATGCCGATAATTTGGTAGGACAGAAGTCAGCACACCGGAAACACACCAATCAGAAAGGGGGCACTAACCTGCACTGTTGCTGAGCGCCAGAAGGAGTGAGAGGCAGAGAACGCTGAACATGCTTGGCTATCCCCTCGGTATTGCTGAATTTGCCCGCAACTGAGAGGTATTTATATCTGCCGAGGGCAGCAATTTGTGCGCTCTTTGCTGTCGATGATTGCCAAAATAGGCGTTGCCTGTCTAGTTGATTGAGGTGCTTCAATGCGCGCACCGGAAGCGCTGTCAAAGTGTCCGGCTGCACTTTGTCAGCAGAGACGACTGCGTAACTTTGGGGCTGGCTGCAAATCAGCTGATCATTGTTCAAGTAGATTCCATTCTTCGGGGGCCCGGCATGAATGACTGCGTTAAAGTACAGTGCTTAATTGCAGCGGATACTAATGTCAGACGCAGCAATTCCGACCATAGATTTTAGAACCCAATCGGTCCGAACGCTGAGGTCGGCATCAGCGGTTACTTCTCCGTTATTTTGGCAAAATATCCGACATTTTTGTTTTCGACGGTCCGATTTTTGCATGCGAGAGAGGGAGGGGGAGAAAGGAGAAAGTGAATGCTTGTAGTTCAGGCAAGGTTTTATCTCACGTGGTAAAACGACGGCTGCTGGCGCTTCATCGCGTCTAAACTGGTAAGGTAGCACAGCGCAAATGTTGATTTGTGCTCATACTAAGGCGCTTTTCACTATCGGCCAATAGGATCACACCAAGCCAGTGAGTAGCAATCACAGGCTGATTTGTTATCAAAGTCAACTACACCCATTTTTCGGTTTTTACAAATGCTTAGAGCCGTTTAGCTGATTGAATCTGGAAGTTGAAAAAAAACAGATTGCAGCTCTAGAAAACGTTTATAAGAGACGGCTACGCAACTTTGGGTTGGTACCAACTACTGCAAATAAACCGGTCGTTTTTCAAGTAAACTTCACCCTTTCGAAGCTTGTCGTTAATTATCGCGTAAGTGGACATTGATTATTTGCTATTCTTCAGGGTGGCCGAAGCAAATGGAAGACTTTGCAATTACGATCCAATTGATTACATTCCCAAATCGGAAGTTACAGTGAATGATTTTATTCGCTGCAATGCAGCAAGGCGCGCTGGGTTAACATTATAGGCAGATATTTTAACGGTCTGCTATTTCACAAGTGTGCTAGAAATGTCGCGTCCGTCCGCTTGCCACAAATCCCCTCACACATCCCCACTGTCTCAAAACAATTCAAGTTGCAACCGCACCCGCCATAGACGTGGTGCCGTCTGTTGTGGCTAAACTGGGAAATATGTCTCAACCCGTCTAGACAAACACCGGTTAGCGGTGGGGAAACCAGAGCATATATCCTAGGTGGCCTTGCACACACTGGACACAGATTTGCATGATGGAAGACTCGCACTGTTGGCGCCTGCCCAATAAGAGAGGACCGCGAATTCCGGAAGCAATGCACTCAGATGAGACATAAATTAGTCGGTCTATCAGTTTAGACGCCACATGCAAATATGTGAAGGAAAAGTGGGAGGGAGCGCAGCCAATGTCGCTGAGAAAAAGAAATGCAATGCACAACTGCGTTGCCAGTTGTGCATAATGTCTTCTTATGCGAAGTAAAACTGAGTAAACATTAAAGCCCAAATAAAAAAACGCTCAAAACTAGTGTTTTAGTGAGGTTTGCACCTAGTCATCCTTTAAAAAGTTAGCGTAATTTCAGGTGTGGCGGTTTGCAAAAAGCCCTCATTCTGAGTACAGATTCTAAAACAGTTTTCTGCGGATTCGAGATGTCCTTTATTCTTTTGGGTTGATCTAGATGCACTTCATCAAGAGAAAGGGGATTTTGCTTGATTTCATTGATGGGGACGTCGTCGGAACAAACGTTTTCACAAGGCCACATGCTTCCAGGCCGATCGATCACTAATAAATTTAAATAGAACTGATAGGCGTAGTCGTAAACAAAGCATTTTGTGTTTATAAAGATAACTTCTATTTCTTAAAATTAACTTGCGCTTTTCGTTTGTTCTGGAATACGTTGTGTTTCAGATCGACCTTGAAATATCTCTGAATACTTTATGATTTTGAGTGTTTTCTCCCGATCGCCCATAAAGACAGATATTGTATCATGTATCTTTTAAAAAAACAAGGCATTTCTTGAAGGCATTCACCGAAGTAGCGAGTGTGTAGGCGTTCTTTTTTATGTAGAAGGTTCTTTGGGTCACATTTGAAAACTCACTCAGGAGATAGATCACGTACTGTACCTATTTCAAATTACAATTTTTTGGGATGCTCGTCTTCCAATGTATAAAATTTTGGCGTTTTTCCTTCAAAAACACGTGGTTTCATAAGCGTGGGACAGACCAACATATATGCACAAAAACATACTCCGATTGGGCGTACGCGGTATGTTTAAGGTAACGGTAAGTCAGAATCATTCACATGGATCCCACACTAGAGGAGGGCGTCTGCCGTCACATGCCATCTCACACTCCTCCATGGTTACGAAGCGATTATACTTGCCATCGCAACCGCCGTAAACGAATTCCTCGGCATTGGAGGCATACATTGGCATCCGCGCTCTGCACATACCAGTACTGGTGGGCATGTAGCAGGAGTGCGCTCATCCTGAAGAGGAGAAAGAATGCGGTGAAATGGGTCAGGACTAGGCTCGGATCTTTATTGAGCATCTGTGCGCCAGTTTCAAAGTGGAAATTGAAAGGACTGGCGGTCCAGGGGAACATTGAAAATTCATAGCTAAGCATTGCTTTGTACATATTTCCTCACTAGTACATACATGACACATAAACCCGTCCCCTACTGTCCACCACAAGCATGGAACTGGCACCTGAGCCATGTGACTTCTCTGCGATTCTAACATGCGTGAGATCAGAGCAGTTCACACTCCTTGTGTGAAGTCCCGGTTCGTTGTGCGGGGATCCAGGTCGCGCGTGTGGCGCGCGTAGGCGGACACTCCTGATCTGTCAGTCACTGCGCCCACTCTCCGCATCAAACGACTGACCGAATGGGAGCGAGAACTGGTGTCCGTAAGGGGAAAAAGAGCGTGAGGTCGACGGTCTCAGTGCATATTCCTCACTACAAACGACCTGACACGCTTGAACCAATCACGGTGCGCTAAAGACTGTGACCTGGAAGACTGTCGACAACTCAGTCCTCCCTGGGGGGACGGAGAGTCAGGCTGCAGTGGTTTCCTCTTAATGTGACACTCTCAATCAGTTCGGATATGTGCTCCTCCCTGATGTAACAGGTAGTATGACGCCTCCATGCGGTCAGACAACCCGAACGTACGAGCATTTAGAATTTTTACGTGGAGGTTAGATAGGACTAAGAGTTAAGTTGCGCATTCACGAATTTAATGGGGCTGGTGCATGTAATCTGGGGGGGGGAGGGCTTGTGTGCATTTCATTGGCGGACGCGTACATGTTCAGGACTCTGTGGCGTTTAATTTGCATGACGGTCAACAGTCAACAATCCATAGGTCTTATTGAAACAGAGCTGGGGATAGCAGAATGGTCATGAAGGTGGTATTCTGCCATCGGCTAGTTGAATGGCAACAATCCATGAATAGCACTTACAAATTTTTTTGCCCGAAAATCGACCAACTTCGACCACGTTTTGTCTTTAACGAGTGCTTAGGGAAGCAAAACTGATGGGTTTGTGGCTCGGTGACAGTTTGGCGTTGTGTGTAATGGTCATAGCTGTGGGCTAACTCCGTCACACCCAGCCGCTTTTGTTCTTTAGGCGCCTGGATATCGTTCCTGGTGGGGGGGGGGAAAGAAAGGTGAGCGATCTAGACTGGAGTTCTGTTGTTCGAAGTTGACTAATTTTTAAGGGGAAGTTCGAGAGGACTGGCTCCCTAATCGCGCTCTTATGATCTACAACAAGCTGGTGCGTACATGTCAGTGGAGGATGCATGCATGTTTAAGGCTTTTAGGAATATATATATATATATATATATATGGCATGTCGAGGTGTGACCAGTAATCAGTAAATTGAATTTAAACAGGTCGAGCGAGACCTGAGTAGTCGTTTCTCACTCATTTGTTGTAGTCAGTTAGCCATTGTCGTTCAAGTCCTTCTTTTGGACCGAACCAGATCATAACACCCCAGTGACTGTCTCATTGTTAAACCAGTAGAAATTTGTGTTGACGTAATTGTGTTTACGTGATTATATCAAGTAAAATATTAGCACATTTTAGCAAAAATGGACGTTGGAATATATTTGTGTAATTTCTCATGCTAATACATGTCCTAGATTCCGGTTACGCATCTGAGCGATCTTTTCATTGAAAGGATAGTAATTTACCCGCTAGAGTTTTAATAAATAGATTTAGCAGAACTTGAAAATTTGTTTTATGTCTGATATTAACCGTGGTTATTTTAAGAAAATCAGAGGTTTTATCAATTCCTAAATGTAAAATTAGCAGATCTATGCGGTTTGGTGCGCTAAAGAGCGATAATAACGCAGATAGGGGAAACTGTTTTTGAATCTACACTCAGAATATGGGCAGTTGACAAACTGCCATGTATAAAATCTCAGTAATTATAAAACGATATTTAGATGCAAATTTCACTGAATCATTATTATTAGACGTTATTTTATTTTTACTCTCCTGTTTACTACGTTTTTGGTTTAAAGATGCATTCTATAATCTAAAAACGAAGTTTACTAAATTAGAGCCATTTCTGACTTTTTCGGGATATTGAGGTTTTCTAAAAGAATCGGCATTTCTAAACAACGCACTGCAATCTTGACTAGTTCTTTTTTAATTTTTTAAACTTGTGCTTAATTGACATAAATATTGGACTCATGAGGTGGTGTCGGTTTGCGAGTGATTCGCAATCATTCGTAAATTTCGACACATTGCATGAGTTAGGTCGCTAACTGCATGTACCAACATTGATTCTCGTGTCGGCTGGGAATGAGGCCGATGCTGATTTGCGTTCGCATTTGTGTGCTTGCCACCGCTAACCAATAGAATGACGAAGGTCCGATGATCAACACTCACAAATCCTTTGGTTCCCAAAATCAACTAACTTCGGCTATTTTCTGTCATTTATGAGTGCTTAGACCAGTG